GAGTCTTTTTTATATACACTAACACGTATCCAACTATTGTTCCCGCTATAGTATCGATATCAACAGTAAATGAGAACAGTAAATGAGAATCCTTGTATCGTACGCCCATTGTACCTATGCTGAAGACAGACGTGGACACAATTCTCGCGTACACACCGTGTGTGATGTATGCTATGTAGCCAAGCAATGATGGGTACTGCTAGTGGTAAAACATTTGAGGACGCTATAGGTAAACTGGTGCTATTTGAAAACCTAAAAACCCTGTGATTTATTTTAGAAAATGTGGAAATGGCTGTCAAAACTAGAGCTTTAGCCGTGTGTTGTGTTTTTAATTGTAGTACGTACTACCAGTGTATGTATTATAGATGAAGCTACCGTCAAGCTGAGGTGAAAGGTGAAATATACACACATGTAAGGCTGTTCGGATGTGACTTTGTTTTATTTAGTGTTTATTTTTGGCCCAAAATACAGGGGGGGGGGGGGGAATAACAAATTACAATATCGATATTGAACCCTAGTTTTGCCCTAGCTTGTGGTACATTCTCAAACCCTAAGGTTGTTGTAAATGAAAAAATATTGTTTGATATTTACAAAGTGTTTGGTGTTTCATGTAGAAGGCTAAGGTTTGGGACTGTAGTATAGCCCCTGTATAAATAGGTCCTAGATTGCCTGATTTTTTTCTCCAAATTGTTTACGACATCAGAATGATCAGATATTCCAGTTCGACATACACGATATAGCGGGCCAATATGCATATATTTATTATATTGGGTCAAAACGTGCCGCTTCTGATTAGCTCAGTTCCAATCAGTGATATTAATAGTCGGACCTCCGAGAGCAGGCTGCAGGACCGGCCTAAAAAGACCTGACTCATATATCATATAGGGGGGAGACCCAAATAGAAATTGGACATATATAGAGGTAAATGACACCTTTTCTAAAAAGATTTGGACATATAAAGAGGGTATCAAAATATGTATTATATTTATTACAAAAAATATCACAAGTAAAAACATCCTGGGGGTGGTCGTCGTTGGCTAGTTATCTATCCAATGAGATGGCAGTGATTAGGTTCTTTTGTCGGCTCTTGTGTGAGTTGGTACTACCTGTAGAGTGTAGACTGTAGGGCTGTAGGCTGTAAATACTAAATAGTCTCAAACGAGAGAGTGTGGATTGCGCTCAGCTGTTTTTTTTATAGCCTCATCAGCGATACACAATAAATTTGCATAGGCTTACAGCTTTATTACCATGAATTTTACACATTGTAATAAATATGTCTGCGCGGTTGGGACGTCCAAATCCGATTTCATCCCTAAGTTCGTACAATTCTAAAATCCTAGTAAAAGATATGTTCATAATGCTAGTTTACGACCAAGTTTCGTAAATACCACGATTCATTTTCGCGGACTAAATCCTTTGTCGCCAGCGAAATAGATTAGTGGATACGTCCTCCATCTCACACCTGTGTGAGCACCCGAACCTAACAACCTCATTCACCGAGCCATGCAGTAGACTTTTCATCGGAAGGGGGTTTTTAAACCAATAGCGCGTAATTTTGTACCACGACGAAATTGACAAAGTAATAGAGGTAGCTATAAACGAATAAAGTACTATTGAGTTCGTATACAAAACAAAAAAATTCTACTCGCAAATACAACATACCTTTGCTTCTCCACTCTCATTTACGCAGTTTGTAACGGTACTTGATATCTTCGGAATAACCACAACATGTTGGCCACTCAACAAATAGCACACCCCGCCCCTGCTGGGGACGATGGTGAGGTTAAAGACAGTTTCACCGATGAATCTGCGTTCGATCTGGACCTGGCATGCAATGAATCACGCACATGGATGGAGGCAGTTTTGCAGGAGGCAATCCCCGGACAGGATAATAAGCCGTTGTTCCGTGAGAATTTGAAGGATGGTCAACGTTTATGTCGGTAGGTAATTGCGCAAACATATACCAACCAGCGTTACGTATGTTTTGGTTGAGCAGACTGAGTACCAACACTAGTGGGTTGATTGTGGAATGTTCTTCCTCATAGCACTAGTTCGTAGGCTGTGGTGATTCACAAGAACGATACGTATGTTTTGGTTGAGCAGACTGAGTACCAACACTAGTGGGTTGATTGTGGAATGTTCTTCCTCATAGCACTAGTTCGTAGGCTGTGTTGATTCACAAGAATGAAAATGTCTGATATTATACATGTACAACTCAGTGTTTTGTTCAGTCGTAGGTTCCTACTGTGTGCATAATTTTCACTCCAGCATCAAAATATCACAATAGGGATAGAAGTGTAATGCCGTCATCAATAAAACTAGCAATCATGACCACGATCGAGGGGTTGATATCGGTATTAATCAGATACGGTTATCCTGTCTTTAATATTTTTTAATGAGAAAATTGTTGTAGTGAGCACATACATCCATGACACAGTTGCTCATGATGAAGCAGTCATGTGTTCACTATGTATATGATAGGAGTAAATACCTTGGACCATGCCGAGGGTGGCACAGACAGTGTAGCTTGGACGTGTGAATTGGCATTGATGGTTGCACGTAGATAGCTGAGGTTCATGTTCAGCACCAACATTGGGTAGCTTTTTATACTCATTGCTCTACGGTTGCCTGTAAAAACAGCGCACGCTTTGCATTAGCGAACTTTCGCATTAGATGACTTCTATATGTGTGCCATAACTGGTCACATGCGTAATATATCGATGTTAATGATAGAATCATGATACCAATTTTAATAGAGAATACAAACTGCAATATTGTAGCCTATGGTAAACCGCAGTACATAAATTGAGCTTCGATTAGTAGCTCTCAAGCATATCTGTCACACATGCTTAAAAACTTTTATTTTTAATCAATATAACTGATGATTGTATTTTGGTTATGCTCAAGCTCTCTGGTACAGTCATTCAATAAGTGCTGTCAGAAACTTCCCAATAAGCATACCTTTACTTGCACTACACCCTAAGGTAAATACATTGTATTCTCCTCTATCCACCGCACAGTTTCATTAACTGTATCAAGCCACAGTCGGTCAAGAACACCAACAAGATGAAGGTACCCTTTGCCTGCTTCGAGAACCTGGCTTACTTCACCATCGCCTGTCGTCAAATCGGACTCAAGGACACCCAGTTATTCGTCAACACGGACCTGTATGGGGCCAACGAGAAGGTTATCTCGGGGCTGAAAGACGAAGATATTGCCGCCAGCACCTTAGCAGCCGAGAAGGAGGATGATCGTCAACTGCGTGACTTCTGCATTACTATCTACTGGCTGGGTCGTGCGGTACGTGAAATGTCTGACTACAAAGGGCCGCAGCTGAACTTGGCGGCGTTCGTGAAGTTGTCGTGCTCCAGGTATGGGTTATAAATAGAAAGTTTTTATAAATATGGTGTGCGTTATGAATAGATTGTTATATAAATACGGCATGGGTTATAAATGGTTATATAAATATGGTATGGATCATAAATAGATGGTTATAAATATGGTATGGGATATAAAGAGATAGTTACATAAATATGGTATGGGCTAAAAGTAGATGGTTATATATATATTGTATGGTTTGTAAATAGTGAGATATATAAGTACGATATGGTTTAGGGACAGACATTCATATAAATAGAAAATGAAAGTTGAATACTGGTACTATAGCGTATAGTGTAGAGTAAAGACAATATTGGCTTTTTTACCTACAGGCAGTAGTGATGCTGGTACAGATCTACGAGACACATAGCTTGGTTTGGGATGATCGATATTAAGGAAGGTTGTTTGCATTTTTTACATCTTCACAGCACATGTGATACTAACAGAAACCTTTCTATACAGGTTTGCAACACAAAGGTGCGAGGATGAAATCATACAACTCACGCAAATGTGGTACTAACCGTAGCCGTCCCCTATTCTTTTGTATCAATTAGGTGCCAGGATAAGATCACGGATGAGCAGTACATCACTGATGGTCCTCGCAACTTCCACACTAATTGCTTCAAGTGTGACACGTGCACAAAGGTACCCGCAGCCAACACCGACTACAAGTGGGATGGCTACCAAGACAAGCTCTTCTGCGCATCATGCCGCTGTGTCAGGTGCAAAGAAGGAGTCAATCCTGGAGGGTAAGACTTATATATATATATATAGGTATGTATATATATATATATATATATATATATATATATATATATATTGTGTGTGTGGTGTATGTATGTGTATATGTATAGTATACCAATATGTTTATGTATATGTATATGTATATATAGTTGAATGTATATGCATTTGTATGAGTATATGCATGCATGTATGTATGTATGTATGCAAGTAAGAATGTATGTCTGTATCTAACAAACATATCTGCGCATCTGGCCATACAACTTGCATCAGAATATCAAACGTCATTGTCAAATGCCGATACAAAGAACACACTATGACGTGACATAGTTTCAAAGCCCACTCATAACAACGTACAACTTTTATCAATCTTTTACTTCTCACAGATTCCGTTCATGCCCATGTGACGCCGATGCTAACGCCAAGATATGTCCCACCTGTGACCGTGAGAACCAGTGCAACCGCTGTACCGAGCTTCTGGAAGACCCAGCCAATGCGGTCAAAGATGCCAAGGGCAAGAAGCACTGTCCCAAATGCGTGTGCTCGGATGGAGACTGTAGCAAACCCTTGGTCGGTATGTGGGAGGGTATATGCCTATGTATTTGTGTTGGTATGTTGACCTGTATGTGTGTTTATATACAAGTGCAAGTATGTGTCTCTAGTTGCCAAGAGTTCTACGAGCACTAATTATCATCCTATGTGTGTGTGCACTGATCTGCCACGCTCAAACCCTAAACCTTACGTGTAGATTTTCGCATCCAGTTTTATCGATATTATTGTATATCAATATATACTCGATGTGTGTATATATATTTATGTGTCCATGCTGTCACGAATTCGAAGGGCAAGTAGGTATGTTCTAATGATGGCGGCAGCTAGTCTTCATATGCGATGGCAATATTTGTGCATATGTGCATCTATCTATCACGATATATAAATGTTGTGCATATGTGTGTTTATCTCGATATTAGATATATATGTATATGTACCTTCAATATGCATAAATGTACAATACCATAAAGAAAATCCTACAAACAAGGATAACCACTACAGATACATACCGCTGGTCACTGCAACAAACCTTTAGTTAACATGTGAGTACAGCTGTGTATAAACGTGTAGTTATGTGTCGCCATGCGCGGGTACATACTGTCATCTCAACTGAACTCAATCTATTCGACCATCCCTCACACAAAACCCTAAAACCCAAAATCGGAAACCTCTCACTTCCCCGCAGGTGACAAGTATGTATCTGACGATAAGGGCAACAAGTACTGCCCCGACTGTGCGTGCCAACGCGCCGAGTGTGGCAAGTACACCGGCAGCACACCCACGGTAGTGAACGGCCACAAGTACTGTCCCACTACCTGTGTGTGCCAGGACAAGTCGTGTGGCAAGCCTTTCGTCAATGACAAGTAGGTTTGGGTGTGTGTTGATAGCCTTAGAGCTATACTGTATGTGTGTATGCATCATTGGTACACGTGTGGTATGCCCTTTGTAGCGTATAGCCACAAGTACTGCCCCACTCCCTGTAGGTGCCAGGGCATGTCGTGTGGCAAGTCTCTCGTGAATAACAAGCAAGTGTGTGTGTGTTTGTGTGAGTGTTCATAAAATTTAAAGAGTTAAAACGCCAATACTCTGGTGTTCGGTATCAGAGTAGACTGTTGTATCTTAAGTAGCTTGTCTAGTGGTGTCAATGACAGAATAATAGTGTATGTGTGTAAAGAATACTGATACTTTTGTGGTATGCCCGTTGTAGTGCATGGCCACAAGTACTGTCCCACCGCCTGTGTGTGTCATGATGAGTCATGCAGGATGAGTCATAAGTTAGTGTGTTCATATACCTACCACCTGTGTGATAGAACCTATGTGAAGTTCTCTCACAGCTATAGTATATATGTGGGAAAGCATGTTTATATATATGTAGCTATCTACGGCTGCCCCATCATCCGTGTGACATACGCCAACACCACACCCATACCAATCATGCACTCTCATACTACATATCTACACTGTCTGCAGGTGTGAGGAGATATACACGTACCAACCATACACACCCATACTACACATCTACACTGTCTGCAGGTTTAAGGAGGTATATACAACCCGAAAACCATACACCCTAAAACTATACACACCCATACTACACATCTACATTGTCTGCAGGTTCAAGGTGGTATATACAGCCCGAAAACCCCATACCCTAGAACCCTAAAATTACACACACTCATACTACACATCTACACTGTCTGCAGGTTCAAAGAGGTATATACAATCCGAAAATCGTAAACCCTAAAACCCTAAAACCATACACACCCATACTACACATCTACATTGTCTGCAGGTTTAAGGAGGTAGACGGCCAGCGCTTCTGCCCGGACTGCGTATGCCAACGCGCCGAGTGCGACCGAATCCCCGCAGACACAGCTAAGACGGTGTATGGCAACAAGTACTGTCGCGGCTGTGTGTGTGCGGATGAGGAGTGTAGCAAGCCATTTGTGAACAATGAGTTCAAGGAGAGCGATGGCAAGCGCTACTGCCCAGACTGCATGTGTCAGCGTGCAGGTGTGTTGGGGGTTGCGTTGTATTGTAGGCAGAGTGCCTG